ATTCATCACGTGGTAAAGGTAACATTACTCATAATTCTCAGAGCAGGTTACCACCTGACCATGCTAATAACACAGACACCCAAAGAATACCAGATTGTGGACCTTTCAAGGCTCTGGTTAGTGGGCATCAGCTAAGTAACTTTGAAGTGCAAGTGTCTCGAAGTGGTGACATGTCCAGCAAGTCTGTACCTCAAATCCAGAGAGGTCCTCAGCCACAAACAGGATTTAGAATGGGTGCAGGGCCTACAGGGGATGGGCGTTCACGTGGAACATACTCAGGTCCGCATCCTGTTGCTCAAGGTGTGCACAATGGAGCAGGATTGACAAGAGAACAGGAGGGATGCCACCAGAGCTTTATGCAAAGCCTTTTGGCACCTCATATCCCTGAACAAAGTGGGCACCAAAGGGCAGCCCAGGGCTGTACCCCAGGGAGTATAGAATACAACTGCATTCCTGGGACCGCTGCTGGAGAACTTCAGGCTAAATCTTCAAGTCCTAATTTACACCCTGGACAGAAAGCTGCTTCCATACGTCTAGGGGACAACAACAAAGGACATATTTCTCAGGTCAGTGCAAATTTGCATGGTCCACCTGTGAGAACAGGTCCACCCCATCCCCCAACACCACACAGCAGTTCAGACACAAGACGTACTCAAGGCTCAACCAGGTCACTCTCTGTTAGTCAACGCCCCCATCATATTGGACCAGATCTACAAAGCACAAAGATTCGTCCAGGAGATCGACCACGGTCAGGCAACTTGAGACCTGGAAATCCTTTTGAACCAGAAAATTCTTTGCCCCTGCCATCAGGTGGAGGAGTGATCCTTGGCCGTACACAAATGGGAAGTGAAGCTAGACGAAGTAGCATTGTGCGTTTCATGGCAGATGGTGCACAGGTCAGCAGTGACAACAATTTAGTGTCCGATCGCTGTGCCGTGTCTGATGTCTCCCAGAACTTTGGCTTTACTTTCATTGCTAAAGGAGGAATGAACCCACCACCTCCCATCAATGCCAATGCATCTTTCATCCCACCAGTCACACAGCCCAGTGCCTCTCGCACCCCAGCCCTCCTCCCTGTGGAACCTCAGAACACTTTACCTTCATTTTATCCTTCATATTCCCCTGCAGCTCATCCTAGCCTTCCAAGTGAGATTCCTTTACAGTATTTCTCAAACCAGATGTTTACAAGTCCAAGCACTGACAAGAGTGGCAGTGCACCATTGAACAACCATTTCGGTTCTATTCTTTCTCCCCCTCGACCTGTAGGTTTTGCGCAGGCTAGCTTCCCACTTCTCACAGATATTACACCAATGCCGATTGCAAACTCTTCAGGCATCACACCTCATTTATCCAACTTTAACCTGACCTCTTTGTTCCCTGAAATTGCCACAGCAATGCCTCCGGATGGCTCCTCTATGCCAATGTCACCTTTATTGTCTCTTGCCAACACTACTTCCTCAGACTCAAATAAACAGTCTAATCGCCCAGCCCACAACATCAGTCATATCCTTGGTCATGATGGGACTTCTGCTGTTTAGGTTTTAAAGGGGTTTTCATCCCTAGCCACAGAATTTATTTGCCTTCACCTCTGCATAGATTTTGTAGGGGATGGCCATGGTGTAACGGCTTTTAATTCCTCTAAAGCAAATAAAGCGTGGAATGTTCTCAGCTCCCACGTCAGGATCACTCTGGAACTATGGGGGAAAAGTAAAATATTGCATTATGTCTGTTAGCCTTTGGTTGGTTTCTTTTGCTTTGTTTGCTGATAGTTTGGGCTGTCATGGTTCTACATGATGTATAACTTGTCTTTATTTTTCTTTAGAACAGCTCACATTGTTTAATAGAAAAAGTGTGTCTGTGTGTTCTTTTACTTTGTAGCAACAATAATGAAATGTGAAAGCAAAAAAAGTTATGATTTTGCATTTAATGCTACAGTAGATATATCTGAGCTGTTTTGTAATGTATCAGTTGGTTTTCAAAGGTTTTAAAATATTTTTCCATCTGTAAAATATTTCTCCTGAAGAATATTCCAGAAGAACTTTCACTTATTTATGAAAATGGATTTGTGGTCTGTAGATATTTGTAAAAAAATTTTTTTAAAGTTATTAAAGTTTCTATCTAATCTAAATTGAAATGTTTATTTCTGACTGAATTTTGTGACCTGTTGATTCGGAGGGCATGAAGTACTTTTTTCTCCCAGATTGCTTGTTTTAGCATGCTAAATCCACCAGATGTCAGTACCTTTCAAAGATTTTGTTCAAATTTATTACTTACTCAGGGAAGCTCTTTTTACAAACAATAAAAATGGTCAATTCCTACTTACTGTAGGGTCCTGGACACTTGAGCCATTTAATCAGGATCATGACCATGAGACCAGCTGGTTAAAAGTGGCTCAGGTAAGTTTATTGGAAATCAAACTAGCACTTTTCCAAGTATGACTTAAAAATAATGGAAAAATATGCATTGAAACCGATCATGATCAAACAGTATGCCATCAAATGTAAGTTACTGGAAATACAAACATAAAAGATGAAAATGACAACAGAAAATACGATTTATTTTGCTTTATTTACAGGCAGTAGTCCTAGCCTTCCAAGTGAGATTCCTTTACAGTATTTCTCAAACCAGATGTTTTCAAGTCCAAGCACTGACAAGAGTCGCAGTGCACCACTGAACAACCGCTTTGGTTCTATTCTTTCTCCCCCTCGACCTGTAGGTTTTGCGCAGGCTAGCTTCCCACTTCTCACAGATATTACACCAATGCCGATTGCAAACTCTTCAGGCATCACACCTCATTTATCCAACTTTAACCTGACCTCTTTGTTCCCTGAAATTGCCACAGCAATGCCTCCGGATGGCTCCTCTATGCCAATGTCACCTTTATTGTCTCTTGCCAACACTACTTCCTCAGACTCAAATAAACAGTCTAATCGCCCAGCCCACAACATCAGTCATATCCTTGGTCATGATGGGACTTCTGCTGTTTAGGTTTTAAAGGGGTTTTCATCCCTAGCCACAGAATTTATTTGCCTTCACCTCTGCATAGATTTTGTAGGGGATGGCCATGGTGTAACGGCTTTTAATTCCTCTAAAGCAAATAAAGCGTGGAATGTTCTCAGCTCCCACGTCAGGATCACTCTGGAACTATGGGGGAAAAGTAAAATATTGCATTATGTCTGTTAGCCTTTGGTTGGTTTCTTTTGCTTTGTTTGCTGATAGTTTGGGCTGTCATGGTTCTACATGATGTATAACTTGTCTTTATTTTTCTTTAGAACAGCTCACATTGTTTAATAGAAAAAGTGTGTCTGTGTGTTCTTTTACTTTGTAGCAACAATAATGAAATGTGAAAGCAAAAAAAGTTATGATTTTGCATTTAATGCTACAGTAGATATATCTGAGCTGTTTTGTAATGTATCAGTTGGTTTTCAAAGGTTTTAAAATATTTTTCCATCTGTAAAATATTTCTCCTGAAGAATATTCCAGAAGAACTTTCACTTATTTATGAAAATGGATTTGTGGTCTGTAGATATTTGTAAAAAAATTTTTTTAAAGTTATTAAAGTTTCTATCTAATCTAAATTGAAATGTTTATTTCTGACTGAATTTTGTGACCTGTTGATTCGGAGGGCATTAAGTACTTTTTTCTCCCAGATTGCTTGTTTTAGCATGCTAAATCCACCAGATGTCAGTACCTTTCAAAGATTTTGTTCAACTTTATTACTTACTCAGGGAAGCTCTTTTTACAAACAATAAAAATGGTCAATTCCTACTTACTGTAGGGTCCTGGACACTTGAGCCATTTAATCAGGATCATGACCATGAGACCAGCTGGTTAAAAGTGGCTCAGGTAAGTTTATTGGAAATCAAACTAGCACTTTTCCAAGTATGACTTAAAAATAATGGAAAAATATGCATTGAAACCGATCATGATCAAACAGTATGCCATCAAATGTAAGTTACTGGAAATACAAACATAAAAGATGAAAATGACAACAGAAAATACGATTTATTTTGCTTTATTTACAGGCAGTAGTGCTCAATCCATGTAACCATGCAGCTACACTTCTAGAATATGTTGGAGATTGATAATTTCCTTCATGTTTATAACAGTGGGAAGAAGCTAATACTGATGCAGGAGAACTGCAGGTCTCCAGAAGTAAAAGTACAACTATACAAGCAGCCTACATCAAACCAGTTTAAAATATAAAAATCAGCATATTGCAGGTAGGCGTGTTCATTTTAAGAATGTCTCGCATCCAGGTTACTGAAACAAAATAAATATATGGTCTCTTTTTCATAGTCAATATTACTACACACAGAATGCCTATACTTTGCATATATTTGTTAACAGTTTTGTTAATGATGAAAATAGATAAATCTTAGTAACATATGTACAAAGCTGTAAAACACTGTACCGACAAGATGCACACCACTCAAAATACCGTATTTAAAACTGAGGACGCACCTGGAACAAGTTACAATCGAAAGGTTCTTAAACTGTTTATTTGTTGTATTTAAACCTCACAGTAAAGTCTACATGCCAAAAAGCCACTAAATGTATGTGGATACAACATACTGTGCATAAAATATGTATGCATATAAGGCGTACATTTCCTACAAATATTTTTGATGCAAAGTGTTTTTAAACAGTCAATCGTCCCCAAGCACTGCACGATACAACATTCATAATGAATGGATCATAATCATAATGCCCTAAAAGCATTATCTTTCCCACTAGCTGTACTTCAAACATCAACAGATGCTTGCCAGTGGAAAATCTGGAGCTTATTACTGATACTGTATGTATGGTGTTGAGGTGTCAGGTTGTTCGTATCTCACATGAGGATCATTTATACAGCATGCTTATAAAAATTCCTGGTGGAAACAGACAAACATAACAAAATATGTATTACATCTGATATAAACAACCTATATATACACACATTCTAAAAAAACTGTATTATGTACAAATACATAAATATATAAATATAGCATCTGTTATACAAAAATAAATATTTTCTATTTTTTCTTGCTTATTTTCTACAGTTTCATCCATCTTTTGGTTTGTGTGTCCCTTGTTCCTCAAGCTGTTTCATGTTTCGAGTTGCTTCCACTTCCTGTTGCTCAGCATCTTGGAGCAACCGGTTTATGCCCGCATCAACTGTTGTTAACAGGGACAAGTCTGGGGGGGAAAATTGTGCCAAAAATTGCATTGAGACAACTTTTACAAAAAAATTTAATATTTAATAATTTACGAAATAATACAATATTTGGTTTCTTTTCAAAAGCTAAATTTGATTTAGCTTGACAGTTTCTTGCAGGTACTTTTGACCTTTATTGTAAAACATGAAGTAACTGAACGCACCGGCAGTGAGCTCCCCTTCCATGTGATCTGCTTCAGTGAGGGAGTGATCGACCTGCATGGAGTCAGGACTCTGAGATGGCTGCGTAGGATCCGATAAACTAAGGACCTGCAAGGGGGAATCATCAGGCACACAGCATCCCTCTTCAGGACAGCCAGGCACCCTAAGAACAAGAAAAAAGTTCAAATTATAGTTGTTTCCCTAACAAACTTAAATGTCTCATTATAACAGTCACCATTTGCAACCCATTTTACTTCCATAATATGACACAAACAATAGTCAATGATGAATATATAATAACACACAATATACGGGGCATTTTAAAAGTGGGTGTTTTATAATAAAATTAATCAGTATTAGAATTCTTACCCATTACAGTAATTGTGGATATGTGGTTGTGGATTGGGAAGTTTCTGAGGCAACAACGCATCACACTCCAGCTCATAGCCAGCATCCTCCTACAAGAGAGACAATAGTTTGAACATCAACACAATGCATTATCTTTATTCACTGGCCTTAAACAGCAATTGAAGATGTTTATTACTCTTACAACTACTGTGCTGGACATCACAAAACATTAAGCTCTAGGGGTGGGCGATATACCGACAGACACGATTAAGTAGTAGAAATTTGTCAAATGGTAGAGATTTTGGACTATCGTCTCTATCGCATTTAAATGCTCGCGTGACGTTGCTGTGCTGCGTGGTCACAAAAACGTATAGTTCACTCGCGTTTTTAAGCATTGTGGTTTAAAAACAAGTAATTTTATGCCATTGAAATACAATCAGCAGTGAAAAAGAACTCGCTATATGTGTGCTCTGTCTGGGAGACGGTTTCTGAGCAATCACACATGAAGACGGTGCTCATAGAGCGCAGGAGTATTAAGTGAAAGCAAACAGCTGAGAAAGAAAACACATGTAACAGTATGATGGATCTGGGCAGCTCTTAAAGTGACAGCAGTCTAATATTCCTGCTATCTGTCATTCATGTTAATCAAACAACAAAAGAGATAATCTCTCACTGCTTTTGACAATCACTTTTGTAACTTTAATAAGACATATAAATTTAATTTACACAGTGAAGAATATGCAGTTTTAAACATTTGATTATCTTATTTTTATGGTATCAAATATTTTGATATCATAAAGACTTTATTTAAAGCAAAATAACTATATCATGATACATACTGATATAAAGATTTTGGTCATATCGCCAACCCCTATTAAGCACCATTCAAAGTGCCAAAATTACCTGGAGTCCAGGAAGGCACCGTTTAGTGTGTTTCCCATTGGGAATGTATTCTCCTTTTGGAGCGTAGACGGTGTGGGCAGGGGTCAGGTGGGGGTCTACAGGACAGGGTCGACCAAGAGCCAATCCTTGCAGAGGTACCATGGTGTACTGGCATGGAGAAACTGTAGCTGCCAATGTTGGAAAGCGCATGTCTAAAGTTTGTTCTGAAATAAAATAAATACAAAATTCATGGTTCATGAGCGTCCTTCTATCTTATCTTATCTTTGGATTCTTAATCAAGTTTTCATGTTTCTAAAAGGGCACTTACTTTGTTTGGCCCAAACCCTCCACAGACAGATTGGGATGAAGGCCACAATGATGAAAACAAACGCTCCGAGAACAACGCCCACAATGAGGTAAGGCAGATCACCAGGCCGGGGAACAGGGTTTCCTGGATGGTCGGGCCTGGACGACGCTGTCTCTGGAGGTGTGGTCCTCTGGTGAAGGCGAGCTGTAAGTACACACAGATGTTCACACTTAAGATCTGTGTTGTCAGAAGAGATCTTTGTTCTAGAAATTGGCTGAGGTGCAGTTCACAATGTGATTAAGAGGAAAAGGACAAACCTTTAGTTTCCATGATGACGACATTTCCGAACTCACTCTCGCCTCCTTCGTTGAAACACTGCATTTTAATGTCATAAGCCGTCTCAGGCTGTAGGTCAGTGATGGAATGCCAATATCGGTCACCTAAAAGAGCATCACACAATTACATTTTATACTTCTTTAATATATAGTTGAAAATTAAAGAATAAAGGAAGTACATTTACCTTCCACTACGTCTTTTTTGTAGTCGCTGTCATTGTCGCTATCGGTGGGTCGGTAGAAGATGTAGAAGCCATAAATGGGAGTGTTATTGACCGGTGTGTACTGTAGAAAGAACAGAAATATTTAGTTCAAGGTCTCACAATGCCATTGTGACAAACTCACATTTCTTGAATTTGACCATGGAAAAGTGTTTAGTAAAGAAACTGCTTACCGTCCACTTCAGGATGATTGTGGTCTCATTGATGGCTTCATTATAGGTGATGTAGGGTCCATCAATGGGACGTCGGTTTGGTGGACCACTGCCCACCACTGTGTAGGCTTTAGAGGGAGCGCTTGGTGGACTCGCTCCCAACACATTAACGGCCAAAACTCTGAACTTGTATGATGTTCCTGCAAATGCAATGGAAAGAAAAACATACAAAGTCAACTTCTCATTTGTCCAATTGCATTTCTTTAACTCAATTTATTATTTATTTAACAACATTAAGCATTAAATATATTTTTTTGTATTTGTATTTTTATATATACACACTTTTATATTTTATTCTTTTATTTTATTTTAAATATTTTTTAACTTGACTGATGTATTTACATTTTAATTTTTTTGAATTAATAAACTAAAAATTGCTTCATAAGTGATAATCATAGTTATCGCTATCTGCATCAGCCACTGAAAACATATCAACTGATCCTCTTATTCACTGACGTAAATCTCACCTTTCTCCAGGCCTGTTATCTCGACTGAGAGGCGAGAGGGAGGGATGTTGTTCACAGCCACCTCCCACTCTCCACTGCCTTTCCTCAATTTCTTGTACTCCACACGGAACGACTGGATGGGGAATCCGCGGTTCCCACGAGGGATCCACGTCACATAGGCTGAGGTCTCTGTGGCCATGGAGACAGTGGGTCTGTCTGGAGCTTCTGGAGCTGGAAAGACAAAAAAGATTGTCAATAAAACAACAGATACTTGCAGTGAGAGTGTGTATGCATGCACACTGTACATACACAAACACAAACACTAACAAATAACACACTTACTGTAATCTCATCCTTCATTTATGATTGAAAAAAATCAAGAGAACAGTCATGTTAGCATAATTAATAATAAGAATAGTATTAATCAGAACTCTTAGGGACTGATAAATGTATATATATATATATATATATATATATATATACATATACATAAATTTTGCTGTATTTAATATTACAGTTTCTCAGTACTTTACTGCAGCTGTTAGTTATATCACAGGCAAAAGTATACTCACGCGAGAGACGAGGTGGCACCACTGGTGTTTTTTGGGGGCCTATGGGTCCTCCTCTTCGCCCTGCAGACCAACATTAAAGAGACATTTTATTTCACTACTTAATTCCTTTTTAACAGATATTTAAATAAAGAAAGAAAGAAAGAAAGAAAGAAAGAAAGAAAAAAAATGCCATTGTCTCTTACTTGATTCTGAAAAGCAAATTCTGCAAATTCTGCAGTGAAATACTTTTTTATACCACTAAAGTGTATAATTGACTGCTGTTCCAAAAAGTTGTCTCGGGCATAAATGACTTAAAATTTCAAACCAATATTAGTTGCTAATTTATTTAGTTATTTGTAAAGTAGTCAAGCAATATGCAGGAAATATCGGTAATTATAAAAAAAATTAACCCCTTAAAGGAGATGCAAGTTTATTTAGCGATTTAAAAAAAAAATAGAAAATCGTTTTCAAATGTTAATGCAGAGGGGTAATCTTGAAATAGCGATATGGCTGCATACATTTGCCTGTTCTGAAAGTCATCATCGCAGGCTGCCCAATTCCAGCGCAGTTCTTAGCGGCCATCTCCACTTCATAGAGACTGGTGGGCTGCAGTTTGGTCAGTGTAAGCTTCTGCTGGGAGCCCGAAATGGTGTTAGTGGTCCACTCTCCGGGAGATTCTCCAGCCTGTGAGAGAGAAAAGTACACACAATGAATCACATGAACAACATAGCGTCGAGTGAAACGAAGCAGATCACACTGTAAGAATGAACTGAGCGGTGTTGTACCTTTCTGTACTTGACGACATACTCCAGCACAGGGGCTCCTCCATCATGACGGGGTTTCCAGGTAAGTTCGTAGTAGTCGGCCTTTCCCGTGCGTGGCTGACTCAGGATGACTGGCGCTTCAGCGAGGGAGACTCTGATCTCAGAGCAGTCAAAAGGCAGCACAGCACTGGTGGCCACAGGCTTCAAGGGTGACTGTTCCCGCAACACCTTATCTGGGCTCAGCGGTCGAATCAGGGGCAGCTTACCTGACCGTGAGGGCACTGAAAACAGAGACGGCAAAGCAAAAAAAAAATTTTTTAATGTGGAAAACACTATTATAAATCAGTAAATACACTACAAGTATATGTATTATATAATGGGCTATAAATGTTTCAAGTAAATACATTTATAAATTATAAAATATAAAAATATATTAATTTTAATACAATTAATTTAATGCAATTTAATTTTAATTGTATTAATATTGCTTTTTATTATTTTGCGAATTGTGAACTATGATTTATTCACTTAATTACAAAGTAAAAAATTATAAAACTAATGATAATACTACTAATAAAAATACTACTACTAATAATTATTATTATACTAATACAAATTTAATTACACATTTTATTTATTTTATAAATTGTAAACAATTTTTATTCTCTTTTAATTAAAAATAAAATTGAATAAAACTGCTAATTTTATGTATTCTTAACTGTTTTAGTTCCTTTTATGTAAAGCACTTTGAATTACCATAGTTTAAGAAATGTGCTATATAAATAAACTTGCCTGGTCTAATATTAAAAATTAAAAAATAATCAATGTAATAAATAATAAAATATATATAATATGAAATGTAATATGTAATAATAATATTAAGTTTTATTATTTTATACATTTTAACTATTTTATAAACTTTTAATTATAAAATAAAAACAATAAAAAAAATACTACTACTACAACTACTAAGAGCAGTAAAAATAATGATGATAAAATTAATAAAGCGATAATTGTTATTATACTATTAAGTTTTATTAATACCTTTTTTATTATTTAATAACTAACAATCATTATTTTTATATGTAGTAGTAGTATAAATAAATGGACAGTAAAATAATCTAATAATGTCAACCTCATTATTATTTTTAATGAAGTATTATACCTGTCGGGACAGTAAGGAGTCTTGTGGCTGCCTGTGAGCTGCCCACACCGTTTTCCGCCATGCACTGGTACATGCCATCGTCCTGCGGCCCAACGTTGAGCACACGCAGCACCTGTGAGGACATCCGATGCCGTGGTGACGGGCTCAGGGGCTGAGCGTTGTGGAGCCACACCACAGTGGGCACAGGCTTGCCCCTCACCTGACAGCTGAAACGCACCGTGTCGCCCCATGCAACGTCTTGCTGCTGCAGCTCCACACGCACCTGGGGAGGCTCTGAAAGACAAAAGAAGGGAGTTTCAGACAGGTGTATGTCAAAACATCAGAACAAATGCTGAATGGCATAAACCAACAAGCATGTTGATGGTTTAACAGCACAAAGCATGAGTGCTGTTTGTGATGGCATGCTGCCGCAGAGGAGTCTGGGATAGACTGGGTTCTCTCACCCTTTTCCAAAACTTGATGGTTGGCTGCTAGTGAATCAGCTCGAGCTCATTAGAGCAGCAGCAAGAGCGGCTTAATTAATCACAGCTGCCGTGAGACGAGCCCACAAAAACAACCTCATCAATGTCTCAGAAACTCAATCCTACACACTCACAAACACGCTCTTTCTGTTCAGTACTGTGGGTTCATTTGAATGCTTATTATCAACTATTTTCTCTCTGGTTCTGATAGATGCTTATTACCTTAAATCAGCATTAAATTACTGGAAATTGAAATTTTGCCATCACACACATAAAATGTTCCACCACTGCCCTGGCTCCTGCTTTTTATACCCCACTTCATGTCAGTTAATGTATTGGGTATCGGTTTGAATTTTATTTATTTTTTTATTCATCTAGTTTAATGTATAAATATGAAGCATATATATATATATATATAATACACTACCATTCAAAAGCTTGAGGTCAGTAAGATTTTTTTTCTAGTAAGAAATTAATACTTGTATTCAGCAAGGATGCATTACATTTATCAAAATTGACAGTAAAGACATATAATACAACAGATTTATATTTCCAATAAATGCCATTCATCAAAGAATCTTGTATCATGTTTATTGAACATTAAATCTGCATATTAGAATCATTTCTGAAGGATCATGTGACACTGAAGAATGGCGTAATGGGTGCTGGAAGTGCAGCTTTGTCATCCCAATAATAAATGACATTTTAAAATATTTTATTAATATGAATTTTTCTATTAACAAAAAAAGTTAGTTTAAATTGCAATAATATTTCACAATACTACTGTTTTTACTGAATTTCTGATCAAATATTTGCTACTTTCGAATTATTTCTCGACTCCAATCTATTGAATGGCAGTGTGTATATATAAATAAATTGTCAATTGTTAATTAATGTTTGTTCATAATACATTAGTTAATGTTAATATATACAGCTTGATGTTAAAAAAAATTAATGCATGGATAAATTAACATTAATTTAAATTAAGAAATGCTGTAAAAGTATTGTATCATCATGCTAGCCTAATGCATTAATTAATAGTGTATTGTAAAGTGTTAACATTTGATGGGCATTAACATATGACTCCTGCAGCCCCATAGTGTGCGACTCTTCCTCTCTAGCAATCATACTCACCAAACACCTGCACGTCGTACAGCACCCTGGCAGAACTCGCAGAGCCCATGCCGTTATCAGCGTGACACATGTAAGTGCCCGAGTCGCTCTCGCTTACAGCATCAATCAACAAGTTGCTAAGCAAGAAGCGGGTGTTGTTATGATTTCGCAAGTCCAGACCATCCTTGGCCCATGTGACATGTGGAGTGGGAATGCCGCTGGCCACACACTCAAGCACAAGCCGCTGGCCTTTATTCACCATAATGGACCGAGACGCAGGTGGATAGATGATACGTGCGGCCTCAGATGTCGAACCTAGATGGGATGATACATTTTACTCAATTTTATATCAACAAAAATGTGTTTTTGTGTGTGTGCGCGTGTGTTTTCTGGTATCCACTTACGTCGTATTCTAAGACGATCGGTAGAGGTGGAAGTTTTTACTTCCTGGGTGACAGGGTTGTAAGCAGCACATTTGTAGGGACCCTCATCATCCCGTGTAGCATTGGCTATCTGAAGGTTTCCTGATGGCATGATCAAGTAATTCCCTAGGGCACAATCAGAGAACCAATGATTGGCATCTTAAGGACAGATCTGGCTTGTATAAACCGATTCGTCAACAGAATCTAGTTTAAGAATCGGCAACATTCCTTAAATCTAAGCTGTGATCTTCACTATGACTTAAATAAATATATGAACAGCAAGAGAAACTGCAACAAAGACAATCATGCTAACAGTCAGCGCTTTGTTGAGTGGACAAGACTAGACAACACACAAAGACTTAATGACTCAACAAGACAAGAGCTGTCAAACACACAAATACCAGAATCAACTAGTGTTCATTTAAAAAATGGCAGAAATAACTGAAGTAAATCGTATTTAAATTAAATTGTAACAGACCTACTGATGGCTCAGGTAAAACAGAGCTTCAATTTTAGCCATAAATGTGACGTGCGTAATATAGTTAATACAGAGTATGCTACAGAGTTACAGTCAAAAAAAACATTTTAAGGTGTCCTTCTTACACGTTACATGTTCTTACTATTATAATAACCATAAATAATGTATAATTACACACAAGTAACCCTAAGCCAAACCCTAATGCTAACCATATAGTAAGTATATGTAGTTAATATTACTCCGTACTTAAATGTATAATTACACTGTAACAAGGACGTCTTAAAATAAAGTGTAACCATCTATGCCAGGGGTGTCAAACTCAGTTCCTGGAGGGTTGCAGCCCTGCAGAGTTTAGTTCCAACCCTACTCCAACACACATGTAGTTTTCAAATAAGCCTAAATGATTAGATTAGCTGGATCAGACTTGTTTAATTAGGGTTATATCTAAACTGTGCAGGCCTTTGGCCCTCCAGGAACTGAGTTTGACACCCTTGATCTATGCCATTAAACTGGATGTGTTATAACTAAGCAAGAAACATATAAGTTAATAATAGGCATGCTAATAGCAACTAGTTAATAGTGAATGAATGAACAAACAAACGAACGATGCATTTATATAGTGCTTTATTGTGTATTTTTGTATACCAAAAGCCCTTTACAATCACATGAGGGGGTCTCTCCTCAACCATCACCAGTGTGCAGCATCCACTTGGATGATGCGACGGCAGCCACAGGACAACGGGCGCCAGTGCGCTCACTAGGGATGTAACGGTATGAAAATTTCATATCACGATTATAGTGACCAAAGTTATCCCGATTATCAATATTATCACGGTTTTGTTCAAATTAGATGAAAACGTTCAAAAAGAACTGATACACACACTGAAAATATTTCAATAAGTTTTATAGGGTTGATTTCGAGTTCACATACAAACAAATAGAACTAGTCTAGAATTAGAATTAGTCTATTTTAATGTAAGACAACATATTTTTCGTCAGTGATAGAAATATGATTTAAGACGGTAGTGTAAGCAAGTTTAGTTTGAAAATGTTTAATAGTAAATAAGACACAATTAGACAGCATTTGAATAAAATAATAATAATAATAAATATTTATTTGCAACAACTGATAGAGTACTGAATGCTGTCAAGGTAACATTTGGTCAGTCATTTCTTTCGCCGAGGGAGTTTCAAACGCTTATACGAGACAGTAATGCCCTGCACCCTTCAAAGAACACACTTCAAGGGCTCTGCCCTTCGTAGGGCATAGGGATGCTCACTTCTGGTTGGAATTCGCCGCATGTCTCTTGTATCACTGCAGAGGCGCAGACGCGCTCTCTCGTTTCATTCAAATGCAGCTTGCGTCTCACTACTGTGTGTGTGCACTTTGGATGGGTAAATGCAGAGCACTAAATGCAGAGACCCATACTCGGCCACATGTCACGTCACTTATTTTATTTTATTTTTTGTCACTTATTTTATTTTATTTTTTGTCACTTATTTTATTTTATTTTTTCACTTATTTTTAAACAGGTAAGATTTCAAAACATATCTCAATTCAACATTCAGGGTGACCGTCCTCGATTAAATTGCCTTCAGGACTCTTGTAAAAGCCAAAATACGACCAGACCACCGATTTGGTCCTCTTAGATGGCTGAAAAATATCCCGAGCACTGTCACTGCCTTCTGCCATTTCGTCTTGTTCAAAAAAAACAACAACACTGCATGCTGCTTCTGCGTCAGACTGATGCTAGCTGGACAGGATTTACCGCGAGTTTTCAAAAGCGCGATAATCAAACACGGTTTTGATGATAATTAAATTTTAAACAGTAATACTAACCATAAGTGCATTTTATCGTGATTTATCGTGAAACCTGTAATCGTTACATCCCTAGCGCTCACCACACACCAGCTACAGGTGGAGAGGGGAGAGAGTCATAGAGCCAATCAAGTGGATGGGGATTATTAGGCCATGATTGACAGTTTTGGCCAGGACACCGGGGTTACACCCCTACTCTTTACGAGAAGTGCCATGGGATTTTTAATGACCATAGAGAGTCAGGACCTCGGTTTAACGTCTCATCCGAAAGACGGAATAGTGAGAACTGGTCCCTATACTGATGTGTTACCAAAATAATTAAATTATAAATAATAAAAACAATTAAATTCCATAATCTCAAAAACAATGTTCCAAATGGTTTAAACTTTTTATGATCAATTAATTTACATTTTACATCTTGTGAAAATCAAGTGAAAGTGTGCTGAGGCTCCCTAGTAGGTCTCAGGCCCCTTGATTAAGAACAACTGGTGTATGTTGAGCAAAATGGCGAATAATTATGTTAAGCCAGAAAAATTTTAAAATGTACCTTTAGAAGTCTCCAGCCACTCCTGTTTGACACTGTAGCGGACCTGAGCTTTGGGTTGACTCTCAGGCAGATGGCATTCAATCACTGCTGTGTTCCCTTCATCCACCTCAATCTCCTGCTGGTCATCTGGCTCAAAATCACGCAGTTCTGCACACAAATGCAAAAGAATGATTAGTTTTTCAACCATATAGCATATACACTAAACCAAGAAAAGCAAAAGAAATCTCAAACGTCCAAGTGTCGGTTTTGAGCATTTCGAAGTTGAAAGCCTCTTTGTATTCCATTCAGGAAACTGAGAAGCATTAGAGTGCATATGCTTAGGACTTTTACTGGGATATCAAATGGGCAGACACCCAATAGCTCTGAAAAACAGAGACAGAAAGTCTAGCTTCTTTAAGCTCAAGTCAGCCCAGGCTAAAATGAGGTCAAAGGCTAAAGGTCAGCCATCTCTTGAGTTTCAAAGGAGGAAAAGCAGTTTGGATTGCAATAAAATGGAATAACTCTTTCTAAGTGAGTCTGTGTGTCATTCTGTGAAGGGAATATTTTCCAAAGGCAAACGGGGAAAATTGCACAGTGCTGTCCTGAAAAAACCCCGAACTTAAATATCTCCCCAACTGTTCATTACTCCTCTCACAAATCAAATCATTTCATTGTTCTCCAGAGTTTAGTTATATTCCTTGGCGTCTGATACGTCTCAAAGTTATGTACAACAGAGCCAAAAGATCTGTGAGGTAAAGATGAAAAAAAGGTCTGTTAAGTATTCCTGGAACCAAAGACATACAATGATGGATGAGATGAGAACTTAAATAATCAGCATCTGATAAACTCTTTGACACCAGCTGCATCTGTACTCTGAAAGTAATCATCGCTTGGTTTTTGAAGTGAAATTGCTTTTTGAAATCATTTCTTGGGAGATGAAATTTCCAGGATATGAGGCTGAGAGCAGGGTGGAGAATGTTTTGAGGGGGAAACGATCCATTTGCTAAATCAATCAGGGTCTTTTTACAGCCCAACCCTGCCAGCACCCCCCACCGCCCCACACCTCTCCTAAATTCCTCAGTGCACACCTTTAACCCCTCCTCTGACTGACTCCCCCTTCACCACCCTTTCCTCAAAACATTCCTCCCCCTCCTCAGGTGTGCAAAAGGGGAAAGAGGGAGAAAACATTCAATTAATAACATTAAACTTTTTAAACAAAAATAAAAGTCATATACACTAATTTTCAAAAGTTTGAAGGCAGTATGTTTTTTTTTTAGCAAGGTTGCTTTAAACTGATCAAAGGTAAGATAAAAAATGTGATAACTCACAAAAGGTTATAAAAGATTTCTATTGTAAATAAATGATGTTCTTTTTATCTTTCTATTCATCCTAGAATTCTAGAAAATGTGCTTCCACACAAATATTAAGCAGCACAACTGTTTCCAACATTGACAATAATAAGAAATGTTTCTGTGCACCAAACCAGCATATTAGAATGATTTCTGAACAATCATGTGTCACTAAAGACTGGAGTAATAATGCTGAAAATTCAGCTTTGCCAACACAGGAATAAATTGTAAAATATTAAAATACAAAACAGTCACTTTAAATTGTAATATTTTATAATATTACGGTTTTCACGGTTTTCTCGATTAAATAAATGCAGCCTTGGTGAGCATAAGAAACTTCTTTTAAAAACATTTAAAAATCCAACGCTGTGTAATTAAACATGGACTGAGGCTAGATAAAAGCTGTCAGCGTATAAATAAATAGGCTACTCAATTTCCATCGCTTCCTCAAATAAAGCCATCATATAACATCAAAAGACTTGGAACATCGCATACGAGTCATATGGACTGCATTTAAACTGTTTTATGGCGAAAGAACGAAAGGATGAAATGAATGAAAGAACAGTGGCAGACTACAAGGAAAAACTGTGAAGCAAATGTATATATGCTTCTAATATGTTTGTAATGCATGTGAGGAGGTAAAGGGCGAATGTGTGATTTGTTTGCGTGCATACGGTACATTCTAATTCTCCTGGAGACCTGGAGAGCAGGGAATGCTGGGAGCCATTCAGGATTAATAGTATTTATAAAATAGAACAGACAGATTTCCAACTCCACTTGGCAATGCTTTCATACATGCTGCAGTTACTTAGCATTCATCATTTTTATGTCTGGGGCCGCTGAGCCTGTGTGTGTATGAGTGCTCATGTTTGTATGACGTTTAAAACTCATACAGAGATGATGCAGTAACTATTGGGTGGAATATCGCTGGCCAGACTACGTGTAGCCCTAAAAGACGACAAAGAAAAACAAGTTCGCCGAAGAGTTTATTGAGAATTAGTTACGCCAAGTATTAAAAACATATGTGAAGAGGTGTGTGTTTTGTGCGCGAGAGAGGGAAGAAAAGGGAGAGAGAGTGCCGAAGGAATGTTTCATGGCTGGAAGGATACGGGAGGCTTGCCTGTCTGTAGAGGAATTTAAGAGGAGAGTTTGAAATAATGCTCAGGCAGGCAACGGCCTCCCCCGGTGGGAGACGCTTCAGACAGGATTCCTACAGTGACGGATACCAGGGAGAGCCAAGCTCTTTCACAGAGCAAAAACAAATGAGCAGAGCTCTGAAATATGGAGACGTGAGACAACTACAGGCTCGCGATCACACGCAGCACCCTCCCCGAGGAACCGTCCAACCCCTGGCTGACTTAGGGAGGAGGTCTTTATTAAATTAGAGCGAGGGGCCAACGTGGGATCATCAGAGACAGGGGCCCCAGCTAAGAGCTTGCATCTGCGCACCCCTAGCCCTCGAATTCTAATTCATAGTCCTTATCAATTACATCTCGCAAATGTACAAGAGAGTCAAAGTTAAATGAGGGAGACTGAAAGTCAGAACAAAACAAATGTGCTTTGAGAGGACTGAAATCCAATGCACCATTAAATGCCATGAGCAGAGTTTGAGAGAGGGAAATCGGGGGTGGGGGGGTGGATGATGTAAAGCATGCCTTCTTTGGGGAGGTGAAGATGGTGTCAAGAATCTCATGTCACGTCTCATCTTGACAGAAGATCCTGCCTCGACTAGTCCCGTCAAACCTACCCTGCTCACACTATCACACAAACACGCATGCATGCACACAGTTCTTTAGAATTTCGTATATGTGGCATATATTCACATACAGTTTATGAAAATAAACCTGTAAAAAAATTAAAGTTTTAGGATTTTGACATTTATTATGATGTAAAATTAGCAAGAATTCCAGCATTTTTATAGACCACAAATAAAAAAAAAATTGTGATCATGTGTATACTTTTGTACAGACAGTCAGTTGTTCTCGCTTCCACTGAAGCTCAAGATGCTCTTACAATGGATCATCTCAAATCATCCTGGATAACATGACCATCAGGTTTTATACACAAACCTGTGGAGTTCAGCTTGAGTGCTGCTGCGATTAAAGGGATAGTTCACCCAAAAATGAAAATTCTGTCATTAAATACCCTCATGTCTAAAAAAGACTAAGAAATATAAACGATTTTAACAATATCCTTACTACCTTTCTGGGCCTTAAACGTGGTAGTTCTGTTGCTGTCTATGCAGGGTCAGAAATCTTTCGGAGATGAACGAAGGTCTTACAGGTTTGGAACAACATGAGGGTAAAATAATTAATGACAGAATTTTCATTTTTGGAAAGTAAAAGGGAGACAAGAAGTAAAAGAAGATGTATCAGTGTGACACAGCTGACAAAGAACAGTATAAGTTGTTTACGCCCAGCTGATATTCTCCAAAATGGCGCTACAGGGTGATGCGGAGGAGAAGAAATGTTGAATAAAGTCGTTTTTTTTTTCTTTTGCGCACAAAAATTATTCTCGTAGCTTCGTAAAATTACGGTTGAACCCCTGATGTCACATGGATTATTTTACAGATCTCCTTGCTACGTTTCTGGACTTGGGAACATTTCAGTTGTATTGCTGTCTATGTAGGGTCAGACAGCTCTCAGATTCCATCAAAAATATCTTCATTTGTGTTCCGAAGATGAATGAAGGTCTTACGGGTTTGAAACGACATGAGGGTGAGTAATTAATGACAGAATTAACTAACCCTTTAAAATCCTAATTATTTTTGGCATAAAAGAAAAATCGATAATTTCATACTAGGGGTGTGCGATATATATAGTCTGCGATAATATCGTAATTGTTGTTTTAACGATGTGCGATTTGACATTATCGAGTATTTAGCAAAAACCATTCAAAACATCCCTAGTGCGTGTGCGCATTTAGTGTGTTTTCTTCCACTGCATGATTCAGTCTATTAAAATGCATTTAGAATGATCACAAATTCAAGACATGATGGCAGAAAATTTATATATTTATACCACTTCATATAGTTATTCAATTTCACATGAAGAGTGCCGTTTTTCTCCAAAAATTACCATGATTACAAATGTGACATTGAATTCAATAAACAATAAGTTAATTAAGAGACTTACGTTTTAGACACCATATTGCTTGTTTTTCTCTATTTCGCCAACAAAAATCATTCCGAATACAACCACAGGGCTGTTTTGTGTCTCTGAGCAACATGACGGTGTTTATGACCACCACACAGAATATGAAGAATATTAAAAACATTAGGAGTCAGCTGTCTTCGGCAGTCCTTAAGATACCAGCACAATAACACACTCAGCAAAATATCGTCTAATTATCGTTATCGATAAAATCCCAGAAAATATCGAGATATAATTTGTCAATATCGCACACCCCTATTTCATACATACAATGTATTGTTGGCTATTGCTACAAATATGTGCTACTTATGACTGGTTTTGTGCTCCAGGGTCACATATTATTAAAAATTACAACAATCTCAAACTTTTAAATGGTAGTATATGCAGAAACTCACAAAATTCACACACAGTTTCTTTTTCTGTCTTTCTGTCTCGTTCCGTCTCTGTATATGAAAAGAGGGAAGCAGTGGAGAACGGGCAGGAGGCCCTTCACTAATGGGGCCCGTGGTTCACCCGTACACACACGCACAGGCATTATGGTGGGTCACATTACACGCCCCTTCCCGTGCTCCATCACTGACTAGCTTGGGGTAAACGCACACTAGCAGTACAGCTGGCACAAAACCACACATTACAGAGCCCTTTGAATTTAGCACAGAAAAGTTCACAACACTGTGTGTAAATATGTATACAACAAACGTAAGTGTTTGTACTCACTAGCTGCAGTAACGTTGGCCAGCACGCTAGCACAGGACCCGACCCTGGTGGTGGCCACACACTGGTATCTGCCCACGGTGAGGTTAGTAAGGGAGGGGATGAAGAGCGAACCGGGCTGCACCAGCAATCCCAGCTCTTCGTCGCCCCCATTTGGCAGCTCTCTGCCGTTCAGACGCCAGCTGATGTTGACATGGTTGGGTAGGGCGCTGCAGCGCAGGGTCACGCTGCCCCCCAGTTTCTGTACCACAGAGAGAGGCTCCTCAGTGAAGATTGGGAAGTCATCTAGAAAGAGAAAGTGGGACATAATAATGGTGAATAAATATATCAGTTATCCAAAACAAATGGCTATAATAGGTGCTGGATCTGAACGCAGCTTGTTCTAACTCAAATTAAGCCAACTTTATGATGTTTTGGTGGGAATAGGTCTTGTAACAGATGAAGAACCAAGACGTCAGAAACCCACCTCTAACAGCTGCACTATCCTGCAGGCAGCACAGCAGCGCACCCAGGGCACACAGCACTCGAATCTTCCGCTTTCTTTCCCAGGGTATCCAATCCAATATCCCAGACATCTTCCATACACTACCCCTGTGAGAGAGAGCGAGAAAGAGAGCGAGGTTATCAGATGAAAGCGTAGTTAATGTGACATTACATTGCACATGTGGTGAGTATAGTAATGAACTAACACACACAACCCACAACCTGAGTCATACAGTGGCCAAAAACAAGAAAAGAGACCAAATTTAAAGTGAAATCCATTTACAACTCAGGAGCCATTAAGCAGTTTTTTGTTTTGAAAAAAAAAAATAGTACTTAATTCAGCAAGGACACATTAAATTGATCACAAGTGAAAATAATGACATTTAGCCTATAATGTTACAAAAGGTTTATATTTCAAAAAATGCTGTTCTTTTGAACTTTCTATTCATGAAACCCTGAAAAATCAAACTGTTTTCAATGCTGATGAATAAAAAAGGTTTCTTAAGCACTAAATGAGCACATTAGACTGATTTCTGAAGGATCATGTGACACTGAAGACTGGAGTAATGGCAGCTTTGTCACCGCAGGAATAAAACATTTTTCTTAAATATATTTTAAAAAAGAAAACAGTTATTTAAAATTGTAATAATATTACACAATAGTTTCACTATATTTTTGTATTATATATTCTACACTATATATTCAAATAAAAGTAGCCTTGATCAGTATTAATAAAACTTCTTTCAAAAACATGAAATCTTATTAATGACCCTACAAGTAGCTTTCCTATCCCATGGTCCACTTTAAGGGGGCAAAAATGGTGTTCTGCTACTCGTGAAACAATCTTTCCTTACAAGTTCACAGAACACATGCTGAAACACACATCCCGCTTGAACCCTCATTCAGCGGGTCGAACTGTTTAGACGGGTGCCCGGATAAGAAGAGGGGGAAATCTGAGCCCCCTCACTCAGGTGTAACCGATACAGGCGGGTTCAAAAGAAAAAGACCTGCACACAAAGGACAATGGGGTGGGGGTGATATCATTTGTATTTTCTGGAAATATTGAGTAGTGTAATGTGATCCTTACAAAGATGCAAACCGAGGGAGAAAGAGCAAGCAGGAGAAAAAGAGTAATGGTTAGTGTATTAACAGTTAATGCAGGAAAGGGAGCGTTTCTCTCCCTCGACTCCTACTGCCAAGTTTCCCCGAATTCTTTCCTGTCAGGTTAAACTAACAACTTCCCGTCAGGAGGAGAAGGGTGGTCCATTGCTCCCAGACTGCAAATCTCTCGCTCTCGCTCTCACACACACACAAACACACACAACTCTACTCCCATCAATTGTAAGTAATGATCAATGAAGCCTCACAGAAAGATTGAGAGCTCAAACATGGGAGGGAACCACATGACACAACTCTAGAAAAACCCTGCAAAAATAAATGATATCTGCGTCTTGGGATCTGGAGTTGTTTTTCTGGAGCTGGTAGGTACATAGCCATTAGCTATTAGCCAAACTCTGCTGACGGAATAGAATGTGTGCCATTTACAGACTTTGGTGTTGGCCCTAAATAAATGTTTTTCCATTTCCAACACCAAAAATAAACAAGTTATGCTGAGAGATGTTATTTAGTCTGACTGTTTTGGAAATGCTGGACTCATCATTTTAATTACCATATGTGTTAAGATTCTGCTGTCTGCTACAACATTAGCTTGTTTGTTTCTTGTCTCTGAAGTGGAAACGCCATGACGCTGATTCCAGGCACATCGGGGAACCTCACTGTGTAGTTAAGATCATACTGACCTAAGCAAACACTCAACTTGATAAGCAACTAGTTTCTACCACTTTAAGTGAACACTTGGTCAAGTTCTCCATGCTTAGTTAAAGCTCTGTAAATCATCAGCTTTAATCAGGTCAATGACTGGCTCATGTCACTGCTCTTTTTAATATTACTGCTAAAATGAATGATTTACCACCATGTCTGATACTGATTGCAATTACTAAGAACAGTGACACTACAACTGGTGATATTGCTGTTAATACTACAACTACATCCATTACTATTGTAGGTGCAGATGATTGTTTCAGTTGTGTTTTGACCACAGCCAGTGACGGTGAGGGGTGGAAGTACAGTCAGGTGTAGTTGTGTACATGGGTGTCAATCACTCAACCAATTAAACACTGAAAATGTGTGTCCTACAATCTCCAATGGACAAAAACCTGCCAAAACACTGGTAGAACTCTTTTTTTCTGCTGTACTGGTCAAGAACAAAGTTCAGATTAGAAATAGCCCTTACAATATTTTCACTATCAAAAAAAAAAAAAGTAATCAAACAACAATATATTTTTATATTTGTCAAAAATAACCTAATATTGAATATAAATGTATATATTTATTGCAAATAATTTTATATTTTCAAACCCACTCAAAGTGACGATGAACATTATTCTCTCAACTGTCCCAACAAAAAAAATCTCATCCATGTTTGCTAGTTATATTACTTTGCCATGACCATGCTGTTAAGTACCCGAGTATCAATCATTCAGCCTGTGAAACATTAAAAATGCATTTCAACAAACTTTCAGTGAACAAAAACTGTTGCAAAACATTGGTAGAACTGAATAAATATTTTTTTCTTCTAGACGGGTTGAGAACATAGTTCAGCTTTGTAATTTGCCCAGCCAATGTTTTATCTAAAAATATTTAGCCTAAATAAATAAATAAACATTTTATATTTGTATGTAATATTTTAAATATCAAGTTTTCTTAAACAATTAAGAATTAAGTGATGCCTATGAACATAATTCCAACAGTTTCCAACAAAATCTCATATGTTGACCAGCTAGCTAACTTTACCTTGACCAAATATTAAAATCAGCAGAGTTTGTAACAACAACCACCTTCAATACATCACAAACTACCAAATCTTTATGTTTGTGAGGCATAAAAACATACATATAGTGTAGAACTGATTTGATTAGGCAAATGACAACTTGGTCAACACACCTGAAACCATTATTATTGATGAGCCTCATCGATCCCACTGGATTGTGAAAAACAGGCTACATGTTTGTATCCAATAAACTACAGCATCTACTCAGACTATCAAGCTCTTAGGAGCCAATAAAGCTGTGCTGTCAACAGGAACAGGACAGCTGCCCTATAGGTTTGGAAAGGGCAGCAATAGCGTCTCCTTGGCTGTCAAGCCACCTGTCTCAGGCGTCAGAAGTTATCCCCTTGAACATACACGTTTCACTCAGACACATATGCGCAATCCAGCTCATGTCATCGCCAGACAAACACTTCACATTCATATCAAGTCACAACTGTAACGGGAAATAATTCATAGCGATGCCTTTTTTTTTTTTTCACCAACAATGCACAAACAGGGGGAGTCAAACGATACTGCAAGCGAAAAACATGCTGCGGTATATAAGTATGTGACCCCTTTAGAGAGCAGAGATTGCATTGATCTGAGTATCTGGATAAGGGCTGTACATAGGCATGTGCATTTAGACTCTGTTTATAGGAGAAACGGAGAGAGAAAGAGAGACAAAAAGCATAATACTGAAGTGACTTCATAATGCCTCTTTGTCACTAAATGGAGTTCTTTCTTCTAGGGCCACTCTGGTCACTATTGTCCTCCAGCCTGTGTGAAATTCATTTTGACAACCTTACTAATTGGATAAAACCGCTCTCGGCCGCCCGTGGGCCCTCCCTCGTACTGTTCACATTCCATCTGCTTTCCGCACAGAGGGAGAAGAAGCGTAACGAGGAAGCGAGGGGAGGAGGTGGAGTTTAGCTCCTTCTGAATATTTATCACCCCTCTCCCATCACCCTATTTATGTCCTTCAGTCACAATACCCCCCCCTTTAGATAAACACATGCGGTGTCAAGTGTGAGGAGTGCTGGGTTCAACTGCCCGCGCGGGCCCATGGCTCACAATGCCGCAGCACATATCTACCATGCGGGAGGCCCGTTGCTCCGGGCGACGGTAACAGGCAGAACGCACCTTAATAGAGTGGAGAGTCATTGTAAAGCAGTGAGCCGGTGCACGGACAATAACCCATGGCCCCCAGTGAAAGGAGAGACGTTTCTCAGAAGGGCCAGAGGAAGAGCTGATGGGGGCAGCTCAATGGACATGTGAGGGTTGCAGTTTTGGGCTGGGGGAGTTAGAGAGCCAAAAGTGGTTAGTGGATGTGGTGGTGAGTGTAGGGGGGGGGGGGGGGGGGATCTAAGCTTTAGGGATCCAAATTAGAGAGTGGATGTCAACTGGTGATTGACCGAAGAGGGGGGAAAATTGAGATGGTGGATGGTTGAAGTTTGCTGGCCATTTGGCTGAAGGAGTCAAAAATGGTGAAAGTACAGTTCAGAGGGAGAGTTTTACTGAAATGTTGGCCTCCTTATAGATGAACAACACACTTTAATGTTATGTAAACAGAATATCTCAATATTTATTAGTGGTCGACCGATATGGGATTTTTGACAGCCGATGCCGATATCTTGGAAAGCAGGATGGCCGATGGCCGATATAAAGCCAATATAATTTTATTTATTTTAATTAATATTTAAGAAATTTGAAGTCATTTGAAAATGGATTAAAAATTATTGTATAAAATAAACATACTTATACTTTAGAAGACAAAGCATTTTTCACAAATAAATATTTAATAAAAATCTAATTGAAAAGGAAGTAAACACTGTAACCAATAGGGCACTCAGTATTCTGGGAAGTTTGTGTGCATTGGGAATCATAAAGGCCTTTTAGGTAACACTCCAAGGTAAGGTAACACTCATTTTACATACAGCACGCAATGAAAATGACACGAATATGACAGTGGACAAATGCATAAAGCGCAGCATAATTTGAAATCACGAGTTTAGTTTGTCGATCGCCAGTCAAGCAGAACTCTCCTCCTATCGACAGTCAATTTGCACGGACTGACCGTCACGCAGAGAACACGCGATCATGCAGGATACAAATGCACACTTCACAAGATCTCAATTAGATTCGACTAAGTCTGCAAGGTTTGTGAAATTAAATGTTCATTAGTCATTCAAATGCGTATTTGTTTAATGCTGATGGCAAACGAGAAAGTATTATAATGTTT